GTTGCTCAGTGAGAGTATATAAAGTGAGATCTTTATTATATTTTTCACACAGTAAATACAATATGGTTGCTGTGGAGCAATGCAGTGTGGATGAGGCATTTGGTCAGAGCCTGGTGCAGTAAACTTAATGCAACAAAAAATGCACCTGCATATATAGCTTTGGCCAGCTGAGGTCAAAGAACACACATAGAAACCAATTTGGATCAAGGACATCATCCTTTGTTTATTTGAAAGGAAAGAAGCTTGGGTGCAGTTGGGAAAGGATTCCATCAACAATGGGATTGTGAAATATAATTGCTAGCGCACCAGGCACAGGCAAGCATAGCGGAAGTACATTAGCTTAAAAAGGTCATAAAAAAAGTGAGGGGTGTTGTGGTCATTATTATGACTACACATGCATTACAGATGTGGTAGAAATTTAGAAAGCAGACAAATTCATAATTCATTAAATGTTTCAATGATTATATTGTACCAGGTACAATTTTTACAGACACCTTCATTCCAATTCCACATCATGTGTCCCTCAGTTGAACCAGAAAATTTGTAATCCTCTAGCTCCTCTCCCACTGGCTAAAGAAAGCATTCAAAAATCATAGGTCATTAACCTATGATTTTTGAATGCTTTCTTTATGAGTTGATATGGAAAGTTTGCTTTGTTCATACAAATATTAAAATGTACTTTCAATCATACAGCTAATTGATGAATTGGGCCAACTTATAAAAGTTGAATGATTGTTTGTACGGTATTTGCGGAAGAGGGCCCTGAAATAATTATTACATTTTCTGGCTATGATAACACTTTGTTCAGTTTTTTGGCAAAAATTCAGTCCACTGTTTTATTTTTCCAGCAGTTGACTAACTTGTCCATGATGTCAAGAATATAATAATAAGGGGGTGTTTAGAAAGATGAATTTTAGGATTGGCAAAGCTCATGCTTATCTCAGGAATCCCTTCAAACCAGAATCAACCTCAAGTTCCCATAGTTTTCTCTGAACGCAAATTGTTGTCCTTCAAGGACTTTTCCTTGAAATATTCAAAAGTCTGCAAGGACCAATTCTTTCTCTGTATCCAAAGATTTATTTTGGTCAGTTTTAACCACTTTTTATTACAATTCAATTTCTGACTGTTGAGTTGTGCAGGCCTTGCAAGCATCGCACAAGGTGGTTATTCAAGTTTAACTTGTATGTGATTTGAATTTGTTGTCTGGTTATTGTTTGCTTTGTGATTTGCCCTTTTTGAATATTCTTGTGACCACTTCACCAAAAAATAAGGTATAACAACCTTGAACTAGGGCTTTGCCACAGCCACAGCCCATCAGCTAACACAATGTTTTTTCTAAATAACCAATATGTCTGACCTTTTTCTCTTGTCAAATAAGTATTTCTGACACATAATTACAAAGAACTTCATTGTATGGACATAGCCTTTTTTCACACTGTTGCAAACAAATTAATTAAAATACATATGTGCAGTATACCTTGTCCAAAAAAGTGGACTCCAAAACACAGAAATATAAAATGATTCAGGCAAATAACATGAACGATTTCCGTTTTTTATTGCTTTGAACACTACCACACCTAAAAAAATGATTTGATATAACACACTTCCCTCAACAGAAAATAGATACTGTACGAGTATTAAATGTACTTCTCAACGGAAAGGAATGTGTGTCCATAGAAACCAAAGAGGCATTGTACTTGTACTTGCTAACTGTATTGCACCTGCGTCGAACTTCAAAACGCAAACTATTTTTCCCCAAAAATTGCGGCTTGACATCATTGATTGCGGGCCAGAATGAATCCGAATTCATTGATTTATAGGTTCAACTCCAGCAGTTTGAAGTGTCTTGCGAGGCGGCTTGAGTGTCATACCCGGACATAATTATTCAGAAAATTCGGTTATTTTCTTTTTGGAGCCGTACCCAAACATTTCTGGCGAGTTCAAGAAGTGTATTGGTGTAAAAAAAACAAAGCAACCAAAAATTGAATCTAACTTTTCGTTATGCACCATAACGTAACCTTGATATCCCATTTCAAACCATGCAACAAAAGGTTCTTTCTATAGTATAATATGCTTTACAAGAATCTTGTTATGACAATTATTTTTATTGGTCCCAAACGTTTCTCCATGGGTATAATGTTATAAAAATATCATTTTAACGAACTCGTTTCAAGCTCCAACCTCACTGAAACAAGATTTTGGCCATGATTCTTTGCATAAACCACAGGGATTATTTGACAAATGGCAGAAAATGAGGGGGGAAATGAAAAGGTGCAGCATACCAACTTGTGACAAACTTTCTGCAGAGAAAACTTTGCATTCAAAAATAAAGAAGTGTCATATGGTTCTTGAAAACTTTTTAGCTCCATTTTAGAATGCACAGTATGCCTTTCTTCCAAATATAAAGGTACAGTAGTATGTTAGAAAAATGTTCCTCTATTCTGAAGAGCTGACAGGTATGAGTGAAAAAGTTGATTCAGAAGCAAGTACTGCTGTGCAGTATTTCTGCCACATGTTATTTTGTTTCATTTCATTTTCCAAGACCAGAAATACTGGTCTTGGAAAATACTTGATCAAGGGAAAGTACAGTACTACAGTATTATTTCAAGAGTTTCCCCTTCATTTCATTTGAAATACTTATCAATTATGATAGTTCTTGAATTATCTGCTTTGGAAGCACTTTAAAGTATTCATTGCCCATTTCCTACAAAATTTCAGTCTAAAATGTTTCAAAAACCATGAATTTTAAAATAAAACAAAAATGTTTATAAAACATTCATGTTTGGGTCTGTGGGAGTTTGTTATTGCAACGAGATTTCACTGCATATGTTCCAATACACAAACTTCCTTTCAAGAAAATGGAGAAAAGGCGAGAAAGGATTTTTCTTTGAAATTGTATGTAAAAAAAAACAGCTCTGCTGGTCCCATCCTTGGATAGGGAGTTTGCTTCATTGAATTAGCAGTAATAAAATTTTCATTATAAACACAAAAACCCTGATGTGCTTTGTTCATTTTGAAACAACGGTGAACTTGTTGTTTTAGTTGTCTGTATTTTTGTTTACTATGCAAAAACTTGTCTGAAAGAATCAGATCCTGCTCATTTTGCCGGAGAGAATCGCAGGTCAAATCAGCAGAACTTATTACGGAAAATCCATCTTTTTTTTAGAAAATGCGGGCGACATCTATATATAGCGTACAAAATCATGAAGTTAGGCGCGTCACAGGTTGCTGAAAAGATGAGTTAGGTGGTGCTCTCTCTAGAATGAAATTTGAGAGCGACCAGAGAAAATTTTCGTTCTGTATCACGGAGAAATTCGTTGTAGATAACACCTATATTTCTACAACGACATGCCTCATGAGATTGGGAGATGAGCCTATGTGTAAGAAACTTTATACAAAGAAATTTGTCCTGGATTGGTAGTTGTATGGACTCTATTGGAGTCCAACTTTGTTTAATGAAGGCATATCATTAACTTATTTCTGCTGTTTTAATTCATTATTACGAGTAAATGTTCTGCAGAAACTAAGGCAGCAATCATCAAGCTCTGCATTGAAAAAGATACTTTTAATTTGTTCACATACTCATTCGAATTCTACCTCAGTATTCCAGAATAAGTTTACATTGCAAGACTAAAGCATCTGAATTCTCTGACTTTGAATGCAGTTAATCATCAACAAGGTGAAACTCGACCGTTTTCCTCATCTGCCATCTCAAGAATTTTTTCACACCATGCACAAAAATCCTCAAAACAAATGTGTTGTTATTTTTCGCATTTACAGTACCTGTACTGTATAAAAGTCTTGTTGGTGATAAAGAGAAAAAGACAAGGTATATTTTGAGGACAAGTACACGCAGCAGCAAAAACACAAGCACAACAATAAAATACAGGAGTGGTCTTAGCTGAAGAAGCATAAAAAAGAAGTCTGAGTGGGCATGCTTCAAACTGTAAACCTTCTTGCTCTGAGGTTCTGAGTTATTCAGGTGTTCCAGTAGGTTAGATTCAGCAATTATAGTAGTCCAGTAGCATAATGGGCAGCAGAACCTGACAAATTGTCAAACTTGTGAAGAAGAATATACAGTAAACTAGTGGACTGTCAGCCCATGTACTGTACATGTGATATTTCAATGTTTTTTTTACCCTGAATTATACTGAAATAGACATTTTTAGGCGCAGGGCAAAGAAAAAGAGAGAAAAGAGAGTGGATGAGTTGAAACATGGATTATGCGTCTCTATAAGGGTGTCTAATCTAGCATATGTATGATAAGTATACTTTCTATATGCAGTATCTAATCTATGATATGATTTCATCCATGCAGGCAACTCATCTCTATGAATTCCAGCAATAATTTGATGGAAAGGTTTTTGTAGAAATTTTCCCAATTCTCTGTAGTGCATGAATGAATGAACAGAAAACTTTATTTGCCGCTTTTCAGCGTTCACAAGGGATAACCAGAACTCCCGCATCCAAACCCCCTCCCCACCCAATTGCATTTTTGTCAAATAACACACCAAGGTCTTGCCATTATAGAGTTGCACCTTTGCTTTAAGAAAACGGTGCAAATCAAAGAATTCATGCATTTGTATGTATCATGATAAAATTGTTTTTTATTTTCATTTTTTAATGGATGTTGTGTTTGAGTGAGAGGGGGTGGGGCAAAATGTTTTGAACCTTGTGAATGCTGACAAGTGGCAAATAAAGCATATTTATCAATCAATGGATCATTTCTCCTGCAATTTTCTGAACACAACGGCAGCAAAAGTACAAAATACTGTACTCCAGCGTTTTCAGAATTCACTCTCCCTCTTTTAGTCCAGCTTGCCTTATTTTAGAAGGAGCTTTTTTTTGCCGAGTTATGCTCCCTTCCTTTCATTCAACATTTTTACAAGGAGCAGATTATTTCTAGAATATTCCATAAAAATAATAGCTTTGTCAATTCTGCTCAACGCGACGTAAATTCGCCTATATACGACCAATCCAGAGAAAATTCAGCTTGGAAATCTGTCCACTATAAACACTGTATTTCTGCAGTCCACACCCTACAGGTAACCTTAAATATATACGTGATATATGCTGGTCAATAATTTTCTATTCCCGGTGCATTCCAATGGCTTTCCGCTTCCTGCAGCATTCCAAGAATATCTCAGTGAGAAATGCAATGACTGACAAAACAAGCCCGACAGCAAGAATTATGTACGACGCCACGTAGTTCTCTATCTGATACTGTTGCATCCTGGGAATAGTGACGTTTTCTTTGGGCAGCTTGTCATTAGTGTTGCGAATGAACTGTCTCTCGTCCAATGCCGGGAACCCGTAGGCCGCATTGATGAATGAAAAGTGCTCCAAGAACCTGAGGATAAAAAAAAAGGAAATCTGATCAATGCACAAGAGGAAATCTTTCTGCTCAACACGCAGGGTGCCATCAGATTTATTGATTGATTGAGTGATATACAAGCTTTATTTGCCACTTGTCAGCATTTACAAAGTTCAAAAAACATTCCCTGCAGATTGTTGAGAGTGAACCTTAATTCCCTCCCTCTTTTGAAAAAGATATATGGACAAATTGAGACAGACAATTTGAGACTGGACAAATTATACAGGGTCAATTTGAGATAGCTGCAAATAAGCAGCAGCAGATTCTCATTGAATGGGACTAATTCATGGAACTTATTCAAAGTGCAAAATATTACATGAATCACAATAAGGTGCTGATTCTCATCATTCTTCCTGATTAATGCTGTTTTTATACTGATATGTTTGGCATGCATGCACTGTCTGGACCTAGAGTCTGTGTCCACATGTTGGAGCTTTCTATTTTTTTCTGGACAAATAAGTGTCTCAATGTGAAATTGTCTTATGTGGAACAAAATTATAGCAGAAATTTTGACCAAACAGTTGCAATCTTTGTTCATAAACATATAAGATATTAGAGAGAAACACAATCAAGTCATTTTGCCTTCAACAGTCTCTGTCTCTAACAGATAAATTTCTGTCTAATGGAAGAATAATGGAAAATCAAACTTGCTTGACAAACTGGCGTCTATAGAACAGATCAAGTTAACCAAGGGCTTATTGAAGCGAAAGCATCTTCACAAAAATATACATATTTTGACCCTGCTCACAGCCAAAATTTTGGTTTTATTCTCAACAGAACAAGTTCTCATCACAGTAAGTTTTTTTTCTTCTCAATGGATTTGATGTAACAAGATCTTATAGCTACAGTATTTTCTTTTTCACCCATGTTGATGAGTCTTTGAATACATTCCATAACTATATGTGCTCACCTCCAGTAACGCGATTTCTTCTTCAAACCAAAAGAATAAAACCTCTGATACAGCTTTTCTTTGGAGTAGTGGAATTCCTCAGACACGTTTGCTGGCACATCAATGTTGATGAATTTGAACAAAACCAAATAGGAGTTCACGTAGGACCTTCTTTGCTGGAATCCATCCAATATGTTCTGATACGGAATCGTTGGAACCAACTCGGAAGAAATGCGTTCACCTGAACCCGTAAGCGCCTTTAGATCTTCCTGAACCCTAGTGTTCGTGGCTCCACCAAAGGTATGCAAATACACCGTGGCTTTCAAATCAACTATATCTTGGAAATCATTGATGGATCGTTCGTAATCCGGCAACGCGATCAGCGCAGTCAACATGCTGCTGTAGGCCACTGTGACCACGATGGTACCCAGCTGGAACCCGAGGCTCCCGACACGGAAATGGTCACTTGATGACAGCTCCTCTTCGGGATTCTGCAGGACTAAGCCTCTGATTGTATCAGGGACTGATTTCAACAGGTATTGCTTCAGTTTTCCCAAAGAAGGTCTTTCATCATCTGCATTGATAGCAGCCAGCAATCCAAGGAACACTGCTGTTATCAAAGTCCCTCCTATTATCAGTAACCAGGTGTACCAATCAAATGGTTGGACCATGACCGTATACTTGATCAATCGCCTGCTCAAATAAAGAAGAAGTAAACAGCAAATTTCAGGAAAAGTAACCCAGGTATATACAAACATACGCACGAAAGTTAATTTCCATTGAAAATAAGAATTTAACATCTGCGGCATTTGGAACATATAAGCTTCAAACGAACTACAGTATAAAAGTTTCACAAAAATTGTATCTGAGAAAAACATATAAAAACTAATAAGCACGTTTAGGCGATGACACAAACCAAGCAAGTGTTTTCGATACTTTTTTTCAATTTTCTCAAGGAAAAATGCAGCCATTTCCTAAATTTATGATCCATCCGTCGCCTCGCCTTTTTCGTTATGTACGTCGTATAAAAAGTTTGTTACACAAAGGAAATCGTAGCAGAGAGAGGCCACCAGTATATACAGTACTGTGATCTGCTGTCACAGATGAATTGGCAAGAAAACTTTGCGCAACTAATAAGAACTGCCAAAATATTTGAACATTTAGCGGAAATTTTCAATAACAACAACAAAAACAATGCGCAAAATTAACGAGGCACTCGCCTAGCTTTACTCGACGTGATGAAACATAATTTAAACACTATTCAAGTTCAGGGGTACCTGCGATTTGATCGAGCTAAAAACGAAGAAAAACAAAGGACGTATAAAGCGTTGAAAAAACATTGATCATCAAATATGTTTCTAAGAAAAAGTGCTACATTTCTTGGATTTACGATCCACTCGCCTCGCCTTTCTCGACATAATGATGTTGTAGGCATCATACAGGGCTCCAGTAGTGAAGTCCACGACGACAGTCCGGAAAGAAGTCGGCACCATTACCCCCACGTAATTATCCGGCCCGTTTTGCAAGTCGCCCATGAGTCCAGTCCAGGTCTTGTTCTTCAGCTCAGTTCCGAAGCCATCCCGAAGCACGGGTTTCATCTCCACGTTGCATTTCAAGTAGGCGCAAGCCGTGTCCATCGAGTACACGTCCAGTTCGTAGGGGGCATTAGGTAATTTCGGTATGGAACCCACGATGGACAGGCCAACTAGGGTGTGACCCGTCAGGTTCCTGAAGTTTTCCATCACCGGGCATTTATCCGAATCCCTTGACATCGTTATTGCAGAAACACGGTTTTTACCACGATACCAAAAGCATTCCACTAGCATCTTTCGACAAAGATTTCTGACAGCTGCTTTCGCTGATCCATCAGCAAGGGTTCGTGGCTGGAAAGTGCAATTTTAAAAATGAGCTATATAACAATATACTCTTCAAAACTCAGCATTTAATGTATGAGGTATGATAAAAAAATACGGTGCGTTAAACTTTAATCCCATATTAGGAATTATTCTGCGATACATCAAAAAATTCATCGTATTCGTTTTTTCCGGGAATGCAACCGCGGTTTCGGTTCGAGGGTCAATAAGAAGATGCGAATTGCGAAGTGATGAATTTCACATCGGAGTTGGACAGAAATACAGAGGCTCTTACGGTAATATTGACAATTAAAACATCTTCACCGCAATCAACCAATTATCTGTTTCAGGATGTAGTGTATTTTCACAAATCACAAATTAAAAGTACTGTTAATCGTAGTTATTTTCAAGATTGCAAAAAAAAATAGAAGCGGACGGATCATTCAAAATGTTCTACAGAGTAGATCAGTACGGAATACTGTACATAAAGAAATGTTTTTACAGGTACTGTACAAGGTGCTGTTCGACCTTCAACATTTGGAAAAGTTTAAAATTCAAGCTCGCTTAATTAGGGTTTCCAATTTTATGGCTCACGTTATAATATGAGCATGAAAAGCCTGGACATTTCCTACGAGGAAGTTGAAATTCCTCGCAGGGAGTGAAAAAATTTTTACGCTGTTCGTCCAAGTTTTACAAGTCCCTAATCTCGGCGACGTGTTTCCGCCTATACAGTACATGCTGCTTTCTATAATGTATGTTTCGGGCAAAGACATGTAAATGAAACCAAACTTTCGAAATATTGCACATTATTTCGAAAGATGAATATGAGAATAGTCCTTAAAGTCTTGAGCCTTATACTGCTGATTGCAGATTACAGTACATATAGAAAAACAGTCAATTGGTTCGTCATCCTGTGTACATTTCATTAGGACGAGTCACATTAACTGCTGAACAATTAGTCGACGGCGAGAAAGATATTGTGACTCGTCATAAAATAAAATTCCTCGTTGAAGGTCTATACTAAAAAAAAAGGCATGTGTTTCGTCGCAATTTTCAAATTACAGTACCTTTTCATTTGAACTGTCACCGACTCTCCCAAAAAAAGTCGAAGGAACTTCGCGGTCGCATGAGACGAAGAACCAGGGCACAAACGAGTTGACAGCAAAATCATTCCCCGTGATATTTGCAAACGAGTTCAAGTGCAAAACGGCTGAGGGTTTTCGCTTCAATTGCTGGGACTTGGTCTGAAGAATGACCGGAATAAGTCGGGTGAATGCATCCGGTGTGAAAGTGTCTCCGGATCCAGTGCTGACTACGAGTCTGTTGGGATCAAACTTACAGACTGTTAGTAGAGTGATGATGGCAGAGATAGATTCTCGAACACAGAGCTGATCCATGTCCGTATACAGGGCAATCAAGACATATACCGCAGTACTTTTGCGACTTACTCATCTACTTATAGGAAAGGAGGCAATGAATATTCATCTTTGATCACCATGCATCAGTTCACTTGACCTTCAGGTACTTCTAACTGAACGTGAGAAACCGCGCATACGACGAAATAGCCTTTTACTTTTTAATCCCAGGCATCACGGATATATGAAGATGAATTCGCCTTTTCCAAAATTTCACAGCGAATAAAGTACGATCGATTTCTTTCTTCAACTTGCAACAGATGCTAACTGGTTACAATTAATTTTCCGGAAGTTCCCACGTTGAATTTTGAATTCCTCATCAAACAGGATTGACAATTTTTCAACTTCGAACTAGAAAACCCGCGGCTGGGCTGTCAAAAAATAAATAAAATGAGATTTTCTCTTCGATCTTTTGCCTGAATTATTTCAGAAGCAAAGGAGGAGTAGGAGTCCTGAATTTCCTCAATTAAATAACTCAGTCTAGAGAGGAAAGTAATCACATCAAAGAGACACCTGCCTGCACACAAACAGAGAAGCCTAGGAGACAAAAGAATTGTTCCCCAAAATATGGTTCCAACTACCTGGCAATTTGTTGTGGATGGAATATCTGGCACACCAGTTCCACTATATGCATACTGTATAGGGGGAGTTCTGGGGTGGTAGTGGGAAATTTGATGTAGGGAATGTAGGGAGGAGGATTGAGTATAGCTTCTAAATCTTGCTCTTAATCCTCCAGAGATTGCAAATTGAAGAGTGGTCTTGAAGTTGTCAAAAGTGGTTTGTATTGCACTGGCAATCTTGGGCACAAGTCCATCCATGAAAGTCAACAACAGGAATCCATCAAGAAAATCTGGCTTGCCTTTATATATACTCCCAACACTCCTTCACTAAGAAGAGGTTTGGTAGGAGGGTAGCTGGTTTGTTTTCTCTACAGATTACCTTGACTTTACCTGGGGCGTCTCCTAGGAGGAAATTGCCTGCCCTTCTCACTCTAGCTCCAAAAGTCTGCACCTGCTCACCATCAGGAGCTTTGCACATTCTCTTTAGATCTTTCATGAGGTTGGTAAGCATCACTCTCCTCCCAAACATATCTTGTAACATTTTTACTATTACTCTATTGTGGGCTGATGTAAGCTTTTGAATCAACATTACATAAATTTGAGCCTCACCCCTAAGTTTACTCAACAAATTGTACCAGATACTTTCATCCAAGTATACACCATTGTACAGGGCACTTTGGAAAGTTGCCCACCACTCCAGCCAATTCAAAGGACCACTTCTGTCAAAATACAATATTTGATTCATCATGATCAATGCCTGCTGGGTACTCACTCTATAGGCAATCTGGATTTCTTCAAATGTTGTACATTATAGAAAGCCACTTTGTCTGCACTAGGTTCCATTATCTGATCAAGACTTGATTTGTTTGCAACCAAGGCCTGTCTTATATACCCATTCCATCAGAAAAGTTGAGCTTTTTAATTTTCAACTCTTCTTCTAGCTGCTTTGAGAACAACAATAATTGGGATGAGTCACCCATAAGCCTTTTCATGGAGACTAATCTCCATGAGATTGGGCTCAAGGACAGCCAATATTGTTGACAATAAGGTCTCTAAAGGACCGTCAGCAGCTTTAGTGTCATTTATCCTCTTTCTTAGCACATCTCTTACTCCCTGAGTGGGAGCAGGGGTTGCATTAAGTTGACCCTCTAGTTGTTCTAGCTCTTGTTTGAGTTCTTTTTTCCTTTTTCCAGCAACGTTGGCCTCTTCTTTAGGACTCATTTCTAGAAGTTTTCTGTCCACAATAGTATTAATGTCTAAGACTTGCAACATGCTGTCAAGAACTCAAGAGTTGACATGTTTGCAGACATTCCATCCCAGTTGCCATAGTGGAGTTAATGTTCACTTCTAATTCACTTTTCACAAGATACACCGCCGTATTCAAAGTCCCTTTTTTGTGTAGTACCTGCAGAGGTCTGGAGCACTTGAGGCTTCTACTTTTTCTTCAAAGCATTATTACAAAGTACTCACCCTGGGTTAAAAAGAAAACTTGGCTGCGCCAAATTATGTTATCTTAATTTCCATGAGAGAATTAACAGAAGACACTTTCAATTACAAGGAAACGTCTCTCCTCAAAACTCAATTAATCTCAAGCATGTAAACTCTCCATAGAACAACTTTCCAATGAGAAGTTGTAATTCTTATAGCTGGGGTATTCAAGTGAAAAGACTTCTTGTTTAGAGCATGATATGTGTTTATTCCAATACTACCTTAACCAAATTCAGACCAACAATGAATATATATACATACACTTTGCAGTACCTTTATAGACTTGAGTAAAACCAGACATGACTGGGCAACCAAAATGGGGACTTTGCAAAAGGGGGCCAGGGAAATGACCACAAGCCAGACAATGTAAGCAGACACACAATGACCTCATCTGCTTTGGAGCAGCAAGTTGCTAGGTGGGAAATACCTTACATTCTAGAACATGAAACACAGAGCAGCAATATTATTGATCTGTAGTAGGATGTACTAATATTTGGTGACAAAATTTATTTTTTGAAACAAGACATGTTCTGAGCACACCAAAGGATTTGCCTACTTAAACATCTGCAATAGAAGTTTCTGTGACATCCTTGAAAGTAAAAATCACCAATAGCATTGGATTGACATGGCAGGAAGATCCAAAATTCATTTTGCAGATACTACAACTGTTAGAGACAACCCCATCATACATAAAAATGTCATCCCCAGCATCACAAGAATAACTACTGCAATAGAGTCTGTACCCAGCAAATAATGGGGGCATTGGGCTGTGAACTGTTGAGGAAATGGACTGCCAACGGGTTCTGGAACCCATTCTCAGAATGGTTGGGAGCAGAGCCCAACAACCTGCTGTGGCATTCTCAGGGAAGCATTCCAGGACTTGTTGTTAGTCCATTCAGAACATGGCTGGAGAAGAAGCCATGCTGAGAATCATTTTTGAACAGACTCCCAACGTTTCCTGAGCAATAAAAATGTCCCCCTCATTGAGAGCACCATTCCAGAACGCAGGGCTGGTGCATTTTGGAATGGTACTCCCAACGTTTTGTGGGCAATAAAATGCACCCCCATTCAGAGCATCATTGAACAACGCAGTACCAACGCATTAGCAATGTACACATATATAAACATTAAAATATAATTGGAGACAATATCAATTTTTCCAATTTAAACTGAGATGTCCTTGAAATTAAAGTCTTATAGTTGAGGAAATATGTACCTGCAATGTTGACTTTAACATTGCTGATTCATTGTTGAGTACAACTGTTAATTTTTCTGAAAAATTAAGCAAAATCTAATACTGTATGATCTTCAAACTTTGAAGATCTGCACAAAATTCCCTAATTAAGATAGAAGGGAGTTCAAAAAAAGCAAATGTTCCTTAAAACAAGGCCTTGGTTTTTAAGGCCTTGTTGTCATTGCTGTACATCTGCAATGACAACTGTTGTCATCGCAGATGTACTGCAATGTACTGCAATGACAACAAATGTCATTGCAGATTTACTGCAATGACAACAGTTGTCATTGCAGATGTACTGTGATGACAACAAGGCTTTAAAAAACAAGGCCTTGTTTCAAGGAGCATTTGCTTTTTTTTAACTCCCTTCTATCTTAATTAGGGAATTTTTTACAGATCTTCAAAGTTTGAAGATCATTTTGGATATTGCTTTATTTTCAACAGTGTATTCACTGTATTGCAATTCTTTGGAGCTGGATGATCTTGCTTCAAGAATTTATTTGGTTCAGCATTTTTTACAGTAAATTAATATTGAACATTGGTGAAAATTTCTATCAATAATTGTTTTTCAGAGAAAATGTTTCAAGAATCATTTCAGTATCAGGGTAGAAAAAAGGTCAGATTTTTGAATGATGGAAATGTTGGTGAAGTTTTTTACACAAAAAATGATTTCCTGAACTCCTTCTACACCTCAAAAGCACTCCAGATCCTCATTTTCTAAATTAATCTGATAATACCTCATTTTAGTATAAGTACCAAAAGTATTTGCATTGTACCTAGCTTGTGCATGCATAGCTAGATGTGAAGGTGACTGACTCTCACTCAGATGGCCCCAGTTTGAAGCCCAGCAAGAGCATCATCAGGATAGCAGATTCAAAGCAAAGGAGCAGCAGCAGGAAAGAATATTGTGAACAGAAAGCACAGCAGAGATGAAGTAAAAAAGAAAGAGGAAAGAGGATAACACAAAGAAAGCAAAGTAAAGAAGAAAACAGCAGCAATTGAATGGGAATTTATTTTTCGCTTTTCTACATGGAGCAGTGTATATACCTGGGGTTGTTTTCAGAATGGATGTGCAATGGGTTTTGAAACGCATTGTACAACAGTAATTCAAAGGGAGGGGTGGGGGGGTTGGTCACTGACACTGGGAAACAGGGGGCATTGGCAATGCATGCTGACATGCGTTGTTGAACGTCCTGGGGTACATCTGCGCCCCTGGTCATTTGAGTGTGACCAAACTGCCGTTAGGCCAACATTCTGCTCAGAACGGATTGCCAATGGCTTTGCAACGCGGGTTGCCATGCCTAAATTATTTGCTGGGTAGAAGTTTCCAGAATTTTTGGGAAACACTAGAGTTCTTGAAGTCTTCCAGCATTAATGAAAAAATTCTAGATTTTCCCAAAAGTTCTATAATCTTCTACAGACTCCATTTCAAGTGAAAGAGTTTGATTTTGCTCTAGGTATTTTTATGGTGTTGATGTTGCACTGTAGATTTTTCAAATTTTTGATGGCATGAGGATCTGCTTTGGTGCAGCACTCTGAACACCCAGTGCTCCCAGGCAAGTCAGCCCCCAGGTGACAATAAACAGGAGGTTGACAAATTTAAAAAAGCAGATGGATTTGCAGTGTTCTCCTAGACTACCTAGAGTGACCTCTAGGTCATTGAGGAGACGTTGCTAGACAGGTGTCAATGACAGCCTATC